AAAATGTCTCAACAGCCATTGCCATGAGCTTTGGTATGGACATGGGAGAAAGAATTCTAAGTACTTTGCACTTGCACCAAACTTCAACATTATGGTTCCTACATTTGGTTCCTTTAGCTTTACCATGAGGCTACATTTTTTAACCCTATTCAGGACTTTTGGGGTCTTTTGGACCCCAGGCCATTTAGTTTAGGTGACAGGTATTGTTTTTTTTATTTTTGAAGATATTTTTTTATATATATAAAAAGAGAGACATTTGTCCTGCATTTGGAACCAAAAATACATCAACTTATCAGAAAATTTCTTTAACATAGTATAAAGTCTATAATGAATACCAACAAATATTTGGCACATATTCTTTCTTGAGGTCCAATGGATCCCGAAAGACCTTTTACATATGGCAACATGAAAGTCCTGAACAAGGTTAAAGAAAGAGCTGCTAGCATGGCTACAGACAAAAAGGTTCTGGTTGAACAATAAAAAAGTTATGTCATATGTCTTTTCTGAAACACTTCTTTGAACTCGGTGGAAGACATCATGAGATCCAGGACAGATGTGACAGAGAATTCAATGGGACATACAAAGAACAAGTTACTCTATGCTACACAATCATGTGATGCCAAAGGTTGTTGGCACAGGACTGCTTTGGATGGTGCATCGATTTAAATGTTGCTGCTGGAAGCTACTGTCAGATTTCATTCTCCTTTGCTTTTGTAAAGTATGGACCAATGTATCCTGTGCTAAAGGAGATAAGAAAGGAGGCATCTTTCCTTAACGTTTAAAGGATATGACCCATCTTGCCTGGTCATTTCGCTCAGTTAGGAACCTTCCTAAGCAAAAAAAAACACGAAACGATTCCATCTATAGCCTTGCCTCTAGCTGCACCAATCTGTGAAATGAATATATTTTGTGCAGCAATTAAGGATCTCCACTAGAATCTACCTGAAGTTTGTCAATCTAAAAAATGGTCTAACCCCTAATAAAAAAAAAAGAAACAAGAATGCTGAACAAATGCAGTTGGCGAGGCATGTGAAGAGAAAAAGAAAAGAAAAGAAAAGAAAAAACGTAATGCAACAGAGCTTGGTAGATGTCCGTGTTAAGAAATGTGTTGATTGCATGACAAAAAGAGATAAAGAAGCACAGCTAAGTTTAGTGAGACAGAAAATGGAGCAGTGCATCGATCTTATCTTGTCTGGTGAAAAGTGCTATTTGTTGCATCTTTTAGTTTCTAGTAATGCAAGCCGTGACCTTAGCCTAGAATAAGAGTGACCAGTATTTTTTATCCTGGCACACCTTGACCCAGATGCTGTCGTGCAAACACTGGTATTATTTTTACACCGCTCATTTCCGGGATTTCCTCCATCGCTGTGCTAAAAGGCCACAGCTTCTGCACTTTTTTTTTTTTTCTTGCTTTTTTTGAGTGACATCCTCTAATAACCAGATGTTTTCACAGGCTCCTTATTGCTCGGGTTTAAATGTCAAAAACAGCCTGTCACACATGCTGTAGTGTAGCGCTGGCGTTGGCTGATGAGGTGGAGGAGAGAAGGGACAAGTTTCCAAGAAGAATCATTTCTCCTCTTTCTTTACCCTCCGCTAAACTCCTGTCACGACTGTTTTGTCAATCACCATTTCCTGTTCTCCCAGGAGATTCTACAGCTTTGGCAGATTTCTCAGTCTGAGGTCACTGCGCTCTTTTAGTGGGTTATTGTTCTCAGAGGGACGTTTCACTGCTCTGGGAAGGCTCTGGACGGGAGCCACGTCGGAGCTGGAAGTCTTCAGGGGGGCGAAGAAACCATGTGTCTGCAGGTGAGCGGTGCCGTGCCATCTGATCTGGACATTGGTTGGAAGTGTGGTTTAGCCATTACCGGTGTTGCAGAAAGAGATTAAAGAGATAACATGCTTTGTAAATGGCACCGTCAGTGACATGCTGGCAGATGAGGATGTTGTTGCAGAGCGTTCGGCTCGGATGTGCTTGAACTTTCTCTACTGTTTTCATGACAAGCTCTGCGGCGTTTCTTTTTACAACAGGCTTAATTGTTTTGACTGAGAAAGCAGTGATCAGTATTGAACTGAAGTCATTCTATTCTGGTCTGATCAATATCTAATTTTCAACAAAGATTCAGAGAGACGCTCGCTCGTAGATCTTTCCTTCTGCATATTGTATTTCCTATTAATATCCTTTACCAACACAAGGTTTGGAATACATCATTAACTACAATATTAAATCTTGTATTTCATGAAAAAAAAAAGTGACAACTGCTTAATTCATATGAATATTCATCATTTATTTTCAGTTTATGAGTTTGGTACAAGTCCACAAGAGAGTCAACATGTTTTGGTAAATTTGGCTTAAATTGAACATGTTTTGATATAATCTTTATAGCAGCACTATATCAACGCCATGTTAAAACAGGAAACATCAGGTTTTTTTGAAAAGAAAAAAAAAAAAGCCCATGAAGGTAGGAGACAGGACACTTAATGTCTTCAGTTTTCATTCCCCATCTTAACTCCCCTATAAAGTCTGATTAGATGGGAAGCTTTATACATTACATTAAGCTGAAATAAGATGAGGCTGGATTGATTCTTGCAAACTAATGGGCTGAACGGAGTAAATGAACAATTTTACATTAACAAATGACTTTAAGAGGCCTCCTAACGTCCTCCAGTGTCTGCACTGTGGAAAAGCCACAGTATAGCTGCCTTTGGTTATGAAATGCAAGGGATAGTTGGAATCCAGCTTTGATGTTCGAGCTGCTCTGTGGACCAAATTACTTGCAAATGTCCTTACATACCAGAAGAAAAAAAACAAAAAACAACAACACTATGAACATATTCATCTTGTACCGATTTAAAATGGCTCCAAACTATCTGGACCTTCTCACAGAGAAGACAATAACGTACAATTTCATACTTCAAATAAATTAACATCACACAACATTGTTCACATTTTAACATGAATTCTTTACAGTCATTGTGCAGGTTGTCAAAATGCTACAAAACCAACATTTCTAACAGCCTGGCAGTGGTTTAAACATTCAAAAAAGTGCAACAGAAGAGCTCCTCTATAATGTTCTCTATGGTTTCGGTGATAAAACTTTGGTGATTGTATTGAAGTGTATTTAGAGATATGGTTAATTACTACAGAGGAGTAATACATTGATAATGGATATTTAATTCAGTAATAGATCTGTCGTTTTGTTAGCTGTCTGTGACACATCTACAGACTGATGAATGATTATTCATCCTGCAAATGCTTATCGTTCTCATTGCAGTACTTTCACTTGTTCCCGTTTTCTATCCCGTGACAGTCTTAGTACAGCTCAGATCACGCTGATGCTTATATGCATTTCTCTTGGAGGTTTGCAGTCTCCTCTGTGAAGGTCACGTGCAGAGCTGGGTCCTTGGGGCAGACTGGGAGATCTTTCAGCGTCCGGCCTGGCGCTATGTTCTCTAAATCGCTCTGTGAAAGTCCCCTCAGAGGCCCCTCGACCTCCTGGGGGTCTTGTAACGTCTGTCCAGCTGGCGGGCTGGAGCCGCTCAGTGCCCCTGCCCGAGACGAGCCCAGGCTCTCAGACGGGTACAGGAAGGTCTGCGAGGTGCTCACCATTTCCCGCAGCTCACGGGACACCAGTGACGGGGAATCCCGGGAGATGATGGAGGAGGAGAGGTGGCCGTCGGCACAGCGGAACTGCCCACCGCCCCTTCGTCCACGCCCGCCCATTTTGCAGAACAGACATTTGATTTTCTCCATCAGCTTGAGAACCACTGTCTTTCTGAGCAGGATGTAGACCCAGGGGTCTAGGATGGGGTTGATGGAGGCCATGCGGATGGCCAGCAGGTCACCATGCAACTTCTGATTCTGGTTTCTGTACAGCTGATTCACAAATATCCTCAGCTGATGGCACAGGAGAGAAAACAACAATACATTTAACAACAAACTGTTTGTTTGACTCATAAAGCAGCATGGGACAACATTTCAAATGCAGAAACAGTTCAGTTTTTCCCCCCAAAACTTGTCCATGCTCCATTTAGAAAATATAATAGTTTATCTAACATGTTTTGACATGGTTGGCATGGAGTGGTCAAATCTAAACAGACACTCTGAATTTAACTTCTGTTGAACCACAGCAGTGGAATTATGGCAAGAGGCCAATAAAAACAGTTCTCACTGTCATCAAGAGTGAGCCTTTGGCTATTGGGCTTCCCCAAAGTCTAATCAACAGTCATACTTCTCACAAAGCCAGAGGCATTAAAGCCTGCATGTTGGATATTCCAGAAGCTAGAAGTGAGGCTCTTAAAGAATAAAACAACAATTAGGTGTCCTCATGAACATTGAAACCGTTTTTTGCTCACATTCTTCCTATTCGAGCCTTTAAAACAAATCATTCTAACATGCTTCTAATGGAATAGTTGGAGGAGAAAAGTCTTTCCTCTGCACAAATACATGGCAACTCCTATGAGTAACCTGATTAGTGCAGGATTCCCTCTTTGTGTTTTTCAAGTTGAACTGCAGTAAAGAGATGGAAAGACACAAAAAGAAGGGATTTAGTCTCTAAGGGACAAGAAAGACCACAGTCCAGACTAACACGTTTCAGACCACTGATTTTGCTTTCATGCAAACTGTGTCTGAAACCACGGAAGAGCTGCTTTGTGTACACCTGAAGGGAACGCATGTGCCAACAGCCGCACTTGCGTCTCGCAGAAATGCGTCATGTAACCACAGAGATCTAAAACTGGAACACCAAGTTCAGAAAGCTTATCATTATCATTATTAACCCCTCCTGCCTGTTGTCCTCATCGCACAGCTCGTTAGGTGAAACCTAGTGTTTGCTTTTATGAGGACACACAGTAGTCTTTCTTTTTTTGATTTTCTGCAGCTTTGATTAAGTTACATTTACTGTGACTTCACTTGTATTCTGCTGCTGCAAAAAAAAAACGAAAAGAAAAAGAAGTGTGGCATTCCAGTGCGCACAAACCCGCTGCAATTGTCATAGTTTTTCCAATACTCACCACTAAAGGTATGGAACAGATGAGAACCACAGCGGAGGTAGCTATAAGCAGAATCACCATCTGGATCTCTGCTCCAGCTAATCGTCTAAAACTCCGTCTGCGCCGGAACTCCGCGATGCGCCGATGGTCCGTGCCCAGAGACGTTCGTCGGATGAAGCGCTTGTGCATCAGGATGAGCGCGCCGCACACCATCACGTTGCAAATGACAGTGGCGAGCACGATGACCGAGTTGACACCCGCGTACATCAAATTAAAAGTCTTGACCGTCGTGTCGTTGTTCTGCCAGTCGATGAAGCACCAGGTCCCCGAGTTCTGGAGCTTCACCTCGCCGAGCCCCAGGCTGGGCAGCGCGCAAAACACGATGTTGGAAATGTATATGGCCAAAAGCGTCAGCGCAGCGAGTCTCTGGTTGACGTACTCATTGTAGAAGTATGCGTGGTTTATTGCCATGTATCTCTCCACGGACATTGCGAAAACAATGCTGAGCTGAGCCAAAAAGAAGAAGAGCAGGATGAAGCCGGCGTACTGGCACAGGGGCTCACCTCCCGGCCAGGAGCCCTTCATGTAGGTGGCGATGGTGACGGGGCTGGCCAGCAAGGTGCCCAGCAGGTCTGTGACTGCCAGGCCACACACAAGAGTGTAGAAAGTCGTTTCTTTCTGTTCTTTTCGTGATATTCGCAGAACCACAATGGCAATGACATTTCCCACCACCCCGAAAATGAACATAATCACCGGGATGGTGACAGGTTTAAATCTGTCCGTTGTTGTTGTTGTTGTTGTCGAGTTGTTCATATCTGCAAGGATTTTTTTTTTCACAGTTTCACACGAAGCAATGACTTGTTTCTTACTTCCGAAGTAGTGACACTTTCCATTCATGTGCTTTCTTCAGATCCCACAGTAGTAACCAAATCCATCGTCTCCAAATGTCTCTTTTACGCACGAAATTAAAAATCCGCATTCTTCACGAAAACACAAATCCAAAAGAGGGGGGAAAAAAAGTTTTTCTCTGGTGGTTTTGGTTTGCAAAAGATGCTCCGAAGCTGCGAGCTTCCTCTCACGTTGTTGTCACACTCACAACTGACAGGCAAGTTTGTTCTGACAAGCAGCTCCTCCTCTCCGCTTCATTTAACCGCTGAGCTTGTTGAGAAAGCGCGCAGCGCGCAGCGCGCAGCGCACATGCAGTGCAGCGGGCGTCAAGAAGACGCCGCGTTTGTGTCGAAGGGTGCAGTTTCATTTCTTATCACTGAATCCATTTCCTATAGACAACTTTGTGTACAGCTCTGAAGACGTAAACTCATTAACATACTCGTCACGCGTCTGTCAACAGCAGCGAAGTCTGACCAGAAGCTGGTTTTAAACAAGATCAATAACTTTATTTAACAACCTGCATGTAAAATGTATTTCAGAAAACTTGAGTTGAGCAAAATAGCTGAACACATTTTTTTAAAACTCCACTTTTAACTTCTCCAGCCCTACATTCCAAAGGGAATTATTACGTTTTATTGCACCACACTTAAATAACAGCTGTGTTCAGCAATTTCTTTACCTGCTCCACCTTTCAACTTATGATGCATTCCTCCATGCAAAACTCTTAATTTCGTTAATAATCTGACCTATAACAGCTCTATATTTTCTTTAAACATTACAACAAAAGCTCACTATTATTTTTTTTGCAGTTTGCATCTTCAGGCCTCATTCTTCTTGTTTCAAAACTGCACAGTCAGTTCTTTCATAGGGAACATTGGAATTCTTCTTTTCCAAAAATAGATTATGTCACATGTCTTTATAAAACTGGGGCTTTGACTTCCTGCATATAGTTGAAACTAACCCCACCCTGACCTGTTTGCCAAGTGTTGTTTACACATCGATGCATCAGTGATATTCATCCAGCAACATCACACATGTAGCTGGCATGACCAAATAAATCATTCTGTTGGACGTTTACTGCAAATTCAGCAGAAAATAGTTGCGCGCTTGTACAACAAGACAATATGTAAGATTTCCAATGCGAGACTTTTACTTGTTGCAGAGATTTGTATATTTTTTACATTGTTTCCAGCAGTTCCTAAGAAATAAAGAAACAGGCTTTTACCAACACCGCAAAATTCTTCAGGTCTTTGTCAGATAACCTACTTAACATGGTGTGATCCACGCTTTTAAGCATTATGCACGGCAATGAATAAACCCAACATCTGTCTTACTGAGGAAACTGAGGGCTGCGGATTGTTGGACCTCTGTCCAAGAATGTGTCCAGTCAGCAACAAAGGGAGAAGCTATGATTCATTGTGAATTGGCCAATCATTCATTGGATCTCAATGAATTGGGGGGAAAAATGTTTTGTTCATTTTAAGCATGAGTCACCTTTTTTTTTTTTTTTACTTCTATTGCAATCTGAATTATTATGCATACCTTTGGGAATGCCCAATACTGTGTGCATACACAGCAGTGGCGGTAATAGACAATAATGTCTGCAGTTAACGACCTAATATGAAGTGTAAAGACATGTAAAGCTCTATGGTTTCTCCTTAAACCTCTGCTCAGTTACTAGAATAAATTAGTAGCAAACAACTGATTACCTTTTATGACATTTGTTTTAACCAAAGAAGATGATTTAATCAACATTATATTCAGCAGTGCGGTTTAATTTGCAAAAGCCAAATCACAAGCTGATAAAATGTTCTGTAGCCCTGTCTGCTAGAAATTGTGTTTATCTACAACTAATTTGCAATGTCAGCTATGTTTTGAAGAGAGCGTGCTGCTGCCTGGATTATATCTTCTATTAACTTTATAAGAAACGGTAATAGTTAATGCAACTCATGATCTCTGGTGTTACGGCCCTGTGGTTTGTACACCCAGCATCCGCCCAGTTCAGCAAATGTAACACTTAAAAACGCCTCTGAACATAAGTCAACCTGCAGTTAACTACTATATCAACATTTCTAGAAGGCACAGCAAGTCAAGATTTTGTACATGGAAATGCTAAAACAAGTTAATGTGTAAAAATAGAAATAAGTAAAAAGTAAATACCTTAAAAACTCTACTCATAGTACTTGAGTAAATGTACTTTCAGCCATTACTGTGCAGGTAATACATACATGTTTTTGCCAGTTAGAAGTGCATTAAAGGGCAGCTACTATTCTTTTCTCACTGAACAATGTATAAAAGAATTAAGAATGTATAAAACTGCAAATTATTTTAATTTCAGAAGTTTAACTCTTGGATACAAGATGTCTCCTATACATCACTGAAAGAACATTCTCAATGTGTGCGCAGTGTTTCCACATCACTACTGGACCAGGACTGGCTTCCAATCCAAACTATTTGTGATGTTACAGATCATTCAGGAACACACATTTAGGTGAGCTCAGTAGATGAATCTGAAAACAGCCTGTTTGTATCAAACTGCAGAAATACCTTCTCCTGTGCAGTGAATCTCAAAGACAAGTGACATTACCCAAAGCATGTTTTGAGTGGAGAGGGACTTCAAGAAAGTTTTCATTTTCAATTTCTCAGTATATTTACAAAAGTAACGTTCTAAATATTTCTTGTGATGAAACCTTTTTACATTGCATCACTGCTACATTGCTTAACGAGTCAGAGGGCTTATTGTAGCATCCATTAATCCTATTCAGGACTTTGGGGGTCTTTTGGACCCCAGGCCATTTGGTTCAGGTGACAGGAATTGTTTGTTTATTTCTGAAGATTTTTTTTTTAAATATAAAAAGAAGGACATTTTCATGCATTTGGAACCAAAAATACGTCAACTTATCAGAAAAATTATTTAACATCGTATAAAAGTCGAAAATGAATACCAACAATGCACATATTCTTTCTTGGGGTCCAATGAACTCCGAAAGACCTTCTATGTACGGCAACATGAAAGTCCTGAACAGGGTTAAAAAAAAAATTAAAGTCAATTTTACCTTAGACACACAAATATAAAAACACAAGCTCTATAAATAGGAATGTACAACTGCAGGTATTCAGCGTACGTAGCAGGAGAGTAGAAGATGAAAGTGACCACATTCTTTCACAGGAACATCATGTCTAGCAACAAATGGACTTTTGCATGCAACGTAAATAGAAAAAGCAACAAAAGTGTCTGACTTTTAATTCATTTTGTTTATCTCACTCAGGCCATAAAGATCAGACTTGTGAACACACACCTGCGTCATCCTGCTAAGCTTTTGTCTCGAGGTAACCACACATCTTAACCACCGTTTCCCATCTTGTAAACAGTTCCTTGAGTCACCTCAAGACTTTGCAAAATTGCAGATCAAAACCTCATCAACTTTGCAAAAATCAAATAATTGTTTTTTTTAATTAGTATTATTAGTATTAGTAAAGGAACTGACTAAATCCTATGTTAATAAAGTAGCATAAGTCATAAATATACGACTTTGAAAAATGAACGTCAGTAATTTTTTAAGGCAAAATATCAGCAGAATCAAGAGTTTTATTTTTTTTATTCATCTGCAATCTGTTTCCCTTGAAATCAATTAGATTGTGTTCCCAAAAAGCAGCTGCAGCAGATATGTATGTAAATGTTTGTTAGGGCACGAGGCAGGAAGTTGATAGTGTGTTCACCGAATCAAACAGAGAATGACTAAGAAATCTATTCTGTTATTTATCGTCTGTAAACAAGATGTTTAAGAGCAGGATGTTTGTACGCTATCGCCGAGCGGCGGTGTCATGTGCGGTGCGTTTTGTATGTGTGTGATGCAAGCCGCCAAAACACAACCTACACAGAGACACCACTTCCTCTGACCTCCGGGTGAAGTCTTCTCCCTGACAAAGAGGAAGAAGACGCCTTTCATTTATAGCACCAAAAAAGCCCCTTTACCATGTGAAACTTTGGTCTAGATGTTAATAACGGTTAAGTACAAGATGAACAGTATATCCTGTAATTAGGGAAAAAAAAATATGGGTAGATTGACATAATATTTTGAAGCTGAGCAGCTGCTATAAGAATAAAAGCAGGTTAATTAAGCACGATAATTAAGCCAGAAAGATAACACATAGGTATAAAAACATGTTCTTGAATTAGGAGAACATGAACCATGCACATAAAATACTGTTTTTGGCATTAATTAAATGCATTTGTGAAAACAGAGAGGGGTAATAGACCATTACAGCTTGGCTACCTCATCATTTTCTTTACCTTGATCAAGCTTTATTATGTAACCGTCTATGTACTTTGAACACCGCATTCTACCTATCCGAAAACAGGACAATATAAAAAGCAACGGCTGTGTTATAGTTGAGACAGTTAAGTGTTCACCACATCAGATGCTCTATTTAAATGTCTGTAGCTACTTCAGCATGTTGCTGCCAGTGAGTGTCTTCAAGTTTGTTTATCACGTGTCCTAATCAGAACTAAGATGTTTTTTTTTTTGTTTGCAAAAATTTAACCTGCAGGAGTTTCTGAAGATTTTTGTGACGTATTTTTCCGCGGAGGGAATAAAATCATGACGAGTGAAAACGAGTCTAAATAGTCTGTAAATAGACATCTTTACTGCAGAACTCATCAGGGCCTGAATCATCTGTCAAACAGCCAAGACTGCTACTGACAATGACGAACTCTGAAATGATTAACTGCCTGAGAAAATATTTCTTTGGTAGGATTATATTATGATTTATTTCTGCATTTATTTTTTTGTAATCTAGTTTTATAATCATGCTGATTACTCGACATTACTTAGTAGATCTGAATCTAAGTATGCCACAATACTGCTCAATTTATGAAAAAGGGGAGAGTCAACATCAGTGGTAAGTAGGTTGTAACCTATTGTCAAAATCACAGAAAATCTTTAGCTCGTTTGTTTTGTTTTGGTCGCATGATTCTCTCCCTTGTTTCTAGTTGTGTCCATGAGTAAAAAAGTACCCATGTGGTGCCTATAGATGGTAAATGAATGAGACATGCATGATGCAACCAGTAGGGTTTCTGCAGAGCTGTTTTGAAACTCAGTGTTGTGGCTCCACCTCTTGCCATCTTGGCTCTAACTCCCTTCTGTGGGTAGAGGGTTGAAGTGTGAGTGGAGCTGGGGTGGGTCGAGTAAAACACGGCACCACCCACTTGACACTCAGTGCAACCATGGCTTTGATTTTGCATAACTTTAGACCTTAATACAACTTGAACAGATGAGGTATATGAAAATGTACC